AGGCCCCCGGGACCCCGAGGGGGCGTGCTGCTGGCCCCCAGGTTGGCTGGCCTCGGCGTCAGCGCCACCATTTTGTGTAAGGGAATGCTCCTTCTTCGCTCGCGGCGGATCGCGTTCGCAGCTGCTGGCCGAGCCCCCTCCCACGCTCCCCACCTGGAGCCTCTCGGTTTCCTGGCTGCTGTGCTGTGGTGGAGAGCGGATCCGCCGAGGCGGAGAACTTAGCGGTTAGGTTCGGGTCCAGCCACGCAGGTGGCCTCCCGAGATGCTCTGGCCGCCTCCTTACCTTTACCTACTTTTGGAATAGGAATTGTGTGGATTCTCTTCTAGAATGCAGGTCATTGCAATTTTGTTCCCATTCCTAGCTGACCATTTGCAATTTTTCGAGGCCTGTGTCCCAGAAAATGGATGGGTGAGAGCTTGGATTGTTTATGGCTCAGGGATTTGGATTACACTCAGCCAGTTATTGTCCTTTGGGAGAAATGGGAAAGCATCTACTGGCTTCTCACCTTCTGGAAAGTGGTGTGGCTCTCTCATCAGGAGTAGATTCTGAAATGATCACCTAATGCAGACCCCCTCGACCCTTTGGGAATCCTCAATTTAAGCTCTTGGAAGGGCTGGGGTAGGAGGGATAGAAAAGTTTTCATTGTGATTCTCAGGAAACTGTCACATAATTTGTCATTTTCAAGGTTCACGAAAATTTGGTATTCTGGTTTTTAATTTGTCTCCTTGCAAATATACGAAATCTACTTAGTGGAATATACTTATCATTTGTATTTTATCACAGACAGGGATTAAAATCTAGAATGGTAGCGACTGCACAGTGCACACATTTGGATCCTGGAGGGAATTCATCAAAAATGGATCTGTGCCATATCTACTTAGTTTTTTTTTTTCCACAAAAGATGGACAGATTATCCAGGCAAACCATCTTGTTTTCCTCTTAAAAGAGCAGAGATTTTAGCTACTAATATGGACCAGACTTCAATTGATTTTTTTTTTAAACATTTGCCTATATTTTTGGTTGGGTTTGGTGAGAGGAGAGAGAGAGAATGAGATAGTGAGAGGAACCACTTGTACAGTACCATTACAAAGCTAAAAATTAGTCTTTCAACTATTATACTGGAGGACTCCTTTTTTTGAATTTATGATGAGCATTGGTTTAGGGAACTAAGAAATGGCTTATTTGAGTAACATTACTGGCCTGCTGGATGAGTGATAACTGAATACGCTTTCTTTACCTGTGGATTTTAGGTTTTATAAAGTTCCAAATTAGTCCGGCCTTTGAAATACTGTTTAACTCATTACAAATGACATTATTTCTCTAATAAATACACAATATTCATTAAAGGGTTTATCTGGGGAAAACAAAATTTTATAGTTAGATGGGTTAGATAAACTGATGTGTATTAAAAATTTTAAGTTTATTTGAGCAAAAATCAATTCAAATCAGACAGTATTCAGTCTGGCAGACAGAAAGGAGTTCTGAGGAGCTGTATAAAACGAAAGACCTAGAGCCAGAGCCCTCCTTGGTGGTGTAAGGGGTTAAAGTGCAGGACTCTGAAGCTATCCACAGCCACTGCAGCATGAGTTCAATCCCCAGCCAGGAATCTGGTGCACAGACAACTCCTGTCTTTCTCGCTGCTCCCCTCTGCAGTGTATTTCAGTGAATCTGTCTGTCCTGCTCCCCACTGTCTCTAGTGAATCCTCTCATCCCGCCCTCCACACCTTTGTCCTGTACTCCAGCTCCTGTATGCATAAATTAATAAATCTTAACAACAACAAAAAAAAGACTAGAGCCAGAGGGAGCAAAAGCAAGCGAAGTCAGACTAGGCAAAAAAAAAAAAAAAAAAGTTGGTTTGCAAGTTACTTGTCCTCTACGGACAGGAAGTCTGTCAATCAAAATATCTGACTACTGCTATTTAGGCCATTCCTGATTGGTGTAAAGATTCCATTTCTGGGAGAGCTGAGACTATAAAGCTTAATCTGGTACTGGGACACAGCATAAGGGACTCCATTGTGGGCCTATTTTATTTTTTAACATGTTTTTGAGAATAAAATTTCAGTGTCTTATGAAATTACTCGAACTTTGAACTTTTTCCTGATGTGTTGTAGACTTTTCCATTCTCTCTAGAAGCAAGTGATTTCATACCATGTAACATCTCTAGCAGAAATGTCATATTTCATTAATGAGAAATTCTATGATAAGAGTTATGAAGGTGTCACCTTAAGAGATCTTGGTTTGAGGTATTTAATCAAGGAAAGATTGCCTGCTGGGGATTGCAGTGCCCTGACTGAACCTATCTGGGGGTTCACGAGAGTGGAGTTTGTTCCTTTCAGCAAGTTAAGCATTGAGTCAAACACAGTTTGTACATTTTTACATTGATTCTGTAAATACACATGTCCGGGAGTTCTCTGATTGGCACTAGTATATTTCTTTAATCTGAGTTTGGAAGTGAACTTGATATGCTTTTGATATGCTTTTTATCTTTAGAGTAATAGCTTAAGATTTTGAGCATTCTTTTACCAATGATTGAGAATTGAAAGAAAAAAAAATCTCTAGTGTTTTTCATCATTGGCTGCTACCCAACTAGACCTTTTTTAAGTTTTAGGTGTGTTATGTTCCGGTACCTACCTAAAAATACAAAGATTTGGTTTTTTAAAAGTAATTGGAATATAAGAGGTTTTAGTATTCAGGCAGAGGTTCTGAAAATACCTATTCTGTGGAAAGGGTTGCTGGTTGGTAGGAATTTAAACACAGCCTTCATGTTTCTTTCCACTTCTAGATTTTATGATTCTAAATCGAAAAAAGGAATTGCATGATTGTTGTGTTTAAGAGGATTTTCTCCTCACACATCACTAGGACTCTGATTATTTTTTTATTTAACCTTGAAATTAAAGTTCTAGGTTTGGCCTGTCTCCTCGGTATAGGGGTATTTCACAATTCAAACAGCTGAAGAATCAACAACAAAATTACTGTTTACTTATTTAGGAAAAGATGTGATGATTTAAACAAGAAAAAGCTCATTTAGAAAAAGCTAATAAACTACCAAATAGTCATAAAATAATTACTGGACTCATGGTACTTTACAACTGGTATGTGAGACCTTGAGGTTTATTAGTTCTGTTAGGAGGGTTCTGTTCACCCAGCCCATCTATTCTTTGGGCCAGAGAATCTGTGACTTACCACACATTTTCTTTTTTTCTTTCTCTAAATGACTATCAGTTTAGTTACTAGATGTGCCAGGGAAATGTTTAAGGCTACACTAAAGATAGCTTTTTTTCTTTTAATTCAACAAACATTGAATGTCTATTGTATGTTATAGGGCACAAAGCAAAGATAGATCCCACCCTTGTGGTATTTATTATATAGTGGAGTATTATGGATTAAAATATTAATGGTTAGTGCCCTTTTGTGGATTCCATACTAAGAATTTGTCTTCTTTTTCCTATTATTTGTATTAAGGAGTGGAAAATAGTCCAACTAAATTTAGCAAAAAGACAACAGAATGTTAGAAGTATTGCTATTTTATCTGAAATATATATCTTAAAACTACTTCAATTAATTGTAAGATTAATATTCATCAATATGTTCCAAACCACGGAAAAAAAAAAAAGCATGGTTATTCTGAATAAATTTTGCATGGAAGTCCTAACCTTTTGTATAGTAGCTAAAAAAACTAACAGGCATGGTTTTATAAAGTAATTCATATGCCTTTAAAACTTCATGTAAAAGTGAATCTGTGTATTCACCATTCTCCTTTTGGGAACTGATACTGACTTGGATGAGATAAGGCATTTCTCCTGCCAGTACTTACTATGGGGAAGAGAGATATTTCTTCCCAGTTGGAATGTACAGATTGTAACTACCTTCTTCCCCTTTGAAATGTACCAGCTGTAACAGTTCTCTAACTAGCCATTTGGTGGGGCTATGTTTCATGTAGTATTAATCATTCCTGGGTCCATTTTACTGTTGGAAAACACTTCTTTTATCCTTTAGAGGTGTATAGAATAACTCTTAAGTTTTCACTTGTATACTGACTCTTAAAAAATATTGGAGGGTAGTTTTCTTACTTGCCTTTCCAACAAGACGTACCTTTGTTGATTTCTCCCAGTTTTTATCCTTATCTACTGTACCAAGGTTTCCAGATCCTCTGTAATCCTGATTGTTCTCCATTGCAGGCATTCCAGTTTTTCAGTGTGATTTTTTTTCTTAAGGTGTGGTGTCAGGATGGAATAAAACCTGCTGATACTCTGCTGATACTGTCTCACCCAGGGCTTGGGCAGGAATATTTTTCCATCTCTGAATCTGGACAGTCAGGACTGTAATCCTGAAGCCCTACACTGGGGTTATTTTGCTTTTTTTTTTATATATATAACAGTTTATTTTTACATCATTTTGTACATTTTTTTTTTTTTTTTGCCATCTCAATTGTAATCCCCGCGGGTTTCCCATCACCCAGTCACCCGTGTGCCATCACCTTAATCCCGTGCACCCTCCCTCCCCCCGT